CCACACACACCGGCCCGTGTCCTTGTTCCCCCCGCGGCTGGATGGCTGGCGGGGGCTGCAGGGCCGGGGTCCGCGCTCCCGCCCGGAGGTTCGGAGACAGAGCTCTAGGCCCGACAGCCGGCCACGGCCCCCTGCCAGCCCCCCGTGCTCTCCCAAAGACCCGGTTTCTCTGTCTGCTTTCCTCTCTCTGGCCCACGGGAGACCCCCTCCCCTCCCGGGGCGCCGGCAACCCTGAGCTGGAGGGAGGGAGCCAGAGGGGAGCCCGGAGGCCGGGCCGCCACTCGGGGGCCTGGAGGGGAGCGGAAGGAGGCATTTCCAGGGCAACCGTGCACTTTGTGGAAGCTGTGCTTTTGTGTTGCATTTGTGTTTCTGTTCTTCGGTGACGTCTTATGTTTCCCTTGGGGTGCGTGCGCACAGGAGGGGCGCGGCGTGGAGCGCGGGGCTGGGCACTCCTTGTTCAGGAAGGCCAGGACAGGCTGGACGCCACTGCGCAGGCGGAGGGGGAGCGTGTGCGCCCGGGCCGGCCGTGACTCCCCGCGGCCCTGGCAGGGTGCGGGGCGCCGGTGGTCCTCAGGCAGGTCTCACCGAGAAGGCGTGTTTCCTAGTGCCCTTCCTCCCCATCTCCGCTAACTACCCAACAAGAGCCACATGTCGCCTTCTGGGCACGACCCCTTACCTTCTCCAGTTGTTTTCAGACCCTCCCAGGTAAACGTACTGCAGCAGCTCCCGTTATTCCACGAGCCCTCTCCTTCCCTCAGACACCACACGACATAAAGGGTGGGGACAGGTTCACCCGTCTGTTTCGCACCAAGCCTCACTAGGCATCTCTCGTGGTTCCCAAGAGAAAATGCTTTTCCCCAAGGCTAGAAAGACTTGATCCTCAACCGTTTCGTGTTCGGTCTGGATTCTTGTATCGACTGTTAGAAACTTAGGAAAAACTGGACAGCCCTTAGGTCACAGGTTTGACCTCCTAGGTACCAACCGAGGTCATCACGCCTTCTGTCCGCCGCACGAGGTTTGCTGGCTCACTGGTTTGCTCACCGAAGGCCAATGCGCGAGGGACGCAGACCCGAGGGGGGTGGCCCGTGTGTGCTTCCCAGGCTCCCCCGCCCCTGCCTGTCATCCCCTTCAGGGCCACCGTGCACACAGCCCCACATCCTCACTCTGAGAGCCGCAGAGGGACCCCGAGACTCACCTCGCCCAAGCCGTGCCCTGAGTGGAGACCCCAGGGACCCCCCTGCTCACCCCCGTTACTTGAATGTCCGCCAAATACCTCTGCTTTCTCAGCTTATCCAGAACGAGGGGATACTTGAAACCGTCCGACAGAAAGTCAGCCTGGAGAAGTCACTATTTTCAGCTTCACGTCAGAGTCTTGAGCGGAACAGCCAGTGGCCGTGCTTTATAAGTAGCGGTCGTGTGTGAAGGAAGGTATCATATCTAGTTCTCCCTGTGCGATTCACCCCGCCCCGCCCCTGCCCATCATGCGTGGCTCCGTGGGCTTCGCACACGTGGTGAGATCACACAGAACGAAATAGCTGTCCCCCCCCCCGCCCCCAATATGTAGAATCACAGCCCCTCTGGATCCCAAAACCACAGACTTTGTCACCAGAAAACCTACCCGGCCACTGCGGTCCCTCCGGGGTGCCCACTGTGGTTCCGTCCCACCTGGAGATCCCCCCCCCCCATTTGACAGAAACACCTGACTCACCACCCCCACCACGAGGGCTCTGCCAGATGCCGCCCCAAGTCACATTCGGGCAGGAGAGAGATCTCACCTGTATCCTTAGGTCAGATTGTCCGTGACCTCAGTGTGTGTGTGTGTGTGTGTGTGTGTGTGCGTGCGCGCACTTGGAGGACTGTCCGGCGTTTGAAGTGACCACAGTGCTTCCTGTTAGCCAGTATTGTTGATTAAATGGTGTTCTTCCTGAAGCCGCACGTTGGGATTTTTGCCTCACGCTTTTGACTGGGTCTCTCCAGGACACGAGGAACTTGATTTGCACTCTGTTTTTCTTTCCAAACGGCTCTGTGGCCTTTCGCCTCTCCAAGAGTCCTTAAAGTTCTAGAACGGAAGAGGACACCGCAGGGGCCCGGGCGGTGCACCCCGCGTGGCCTCGCAGAGCCCGGGGTCACCTGGGAGACAGGAGCTCAGCACCGCTGCAGGTCGCCTCCGCGGAGCACGCTTCCCACCCAGCCCCCGACTCGGCACTTTGTTTACAAGCCCGCGACCGTGCATACAGGTCATTCCCGTGTTCACGCTTTGTATTTTATGTTGGAGATGGGCGGCCACTATACAGATATTTATTACGCTTTCCAGACTTTCTGAATAGATTTTTTTGAATAAACATGAGTTTTATGAAGTGTAATATTTTTCTAGCAGAACGGTAATTTGGGGACTGTCTGTGTCGTTGCCAATTATCGTCAGCGGATACGCTTCTCACCCCTGCTGCCCCCTCGCTCTGTCCCGGCTGCGGCCCCTGCGGCTGGAAGGTGGCTTCCCCTTGGGGGGAGTCGGGACGGGATGACCGTCCGGGCCGCGTGGAGAGCTGGTGGGGGGCACGCAGGTGCCCCTGCGTGCGCGTGCGGCTTGTGTGTGAGCACGTGCGCTGTGTGGTGTGTGTGTGCACGTGTGCCCGAGCGGATTGTGTGCTTACGTGTGCCTTGTACAAGTGCGTGCGTGCGTGCACTCCACACGGAACCTGGCCGCGTGATGGGGCAGGTGCCAGCC